ATTCGATAAAATTATGAATAAAAAAAAATTATGATATTTAAAAAAACAACAACAACAGCAAATATTTGAAAATGTTAATTTTTATTGTATGCGTAAAGACTTTGTACAGGTAACTATGAAAGCGCTCTGATCTCTAATAGCAAAGTGAGTGCAGTCAGTTTACATATATTTTAAATTATTTTTTATTAAAATGTTAATTATTTGAAGAGCGCTACTGCTTCTTCGCTGCTGGCGTACTACAGCGCTTAGGCGTTTAAAATCGAGTTAACAACAGCGCGCCATTCAATTTCTCTTTTCGCTGTTTGCTGTCAATTGGAAATACCAACTGCAGTCAAGTCCTTTTCTACCTGATCTTTCCAACGGAGTGGAAGCCTTCCTCTTTCTCTGTTTTCACCAGTGGGTACTGCATCGAAAACTTTCAAAGCTGGAGTGCTTTCAGCCATTCGGACGACACCACCCAGCCAGCATAGCCGCTGTCTCTTCATTCGCTGAACTATATCAATATCATCATATAGCTCGTACAGCTCATCGTTCCATCGTCTGCGATATTCGTCGCTTTCAATGCGCAATGGACCGTTCGCCAGACTTTTCTCTCGAACACTCCTAACGCCGACTCATCAGATGCTGTCATAGTCCATGCTTCCGCAGCTTATAGCAGGACGGGTACGATGAGGGACTTGGAGAGTTTGAAATCAATTAAAAAGTAAAGTCGTCGGGAGATATTTCGCCTTGCCCTCGTTCACTACGAGACCCATATCCTTCGTATCTTTATCAAGTCGAAAACAGAACTCACGGCGCGATTGTTGAGGCCATTAATGTTAATATCATCGGCGTACGCCAGCAGCTGTACACACTTATAGAACTTTTTACCTCCTCTATTTAGCTATGCAGCTCGTATTATTCTCTCCAGCAATCAGTTAGAGAAGACATACAATAAGGAATCGCCCTGCAGGAAACCTAGGTTAGTAACGATCGACTTTAAGACATCCTTCCCGATCCTGACGGAATTTTTAGTGCCGCACAACCATATATGTTTTCTGAGGTACCAAACTCATATAAAGCGGCATATACAGCTCCTTTTCGTGATGTCGAAGTTTGATTTTAAATCGATTCACTTTTCACATGTCTTCTCCAAGAAATGAAGCATAATGAGTATCTGGTCAATGGTTGACTTACCAAGGTCTAAATCCACACTGATAAGGTTCAATCATTTTGTTGACGGTTGGCTTTAGTCTTTTACACAATACGCTCGACAGGACCTTATAGGCGATATTAAGGAGGCTTTTTCCACTGTAATTAGCGCAGACTGTGGGATCCCTCTCTTTGCTTTCATCCGACCACATTTGGCAAAGAAATTCTTACATGTGTATTGTAAGTTCTTTGCTGCTGTAGTTGAGTAGCTCTGCAGGTAAGTTGATTTGCTGTTTGCCATTCGAACATCCACAGAGAAGCATAATGGAACGTCGATTTCATCACATCGATTGTATTTTCGGGCTCATCATCTCCGTGTGCTATACTTTCACTGCCATTCAGAAGGCTTTGGAAGTGTTCCATACATAATTCAGCGCCCACCAGATTACCACATTGGTTCGTACATGCGTCTACTCCGGGCTTGAAAGCTTTTACTACCCTTGTCGGTCAGCTTTTCAAGCTCTTCATACTCACACATATCGGCATCATTCTTTTCGTCTGCAAATGCGTCTTGTTGCCCTCATAAATTCACCGGATCTATCCCATCTCGCACGTGTAATGGTCGGTTGTAAGGTTACAAAGCAGGTACTCTGTTTTCTTTCTACTGCGACAAGGCAGTCATCATCGTATCGGCTGTTTTTGCGATCTTTCCAAAGTCCAATAACTTTGTACGCAGCTGTACGCAGGGAGATTGAAATGCCGTCCCACAGTTACCTCATACGGAGGTGCTGATGAGTGCGCGCAGAGATTACTACTTAACTTTAAGCTGTGGTCTCTAAAACACTCGTCGGAGAATCCGTTGGAGCCAAGCCAGAGATCCTTCACTGGATGTAAAACCAAAAATGGTAAGACTAAGGTCTGCAAAGTTCGCACTTTCTTGACTCCGAAAACTAGTATATTTCTGTGCAACCAGACGCAGAGAAGATGTTCACAGCGACACTAGAAGTATTACTGGATCTAAAGCCATCACTAAATGTCTCATAACAAACAGTAAAGAAATCTTTATTGAATATAATGATATAAGGGACATTTAAAACAAAAAAGAGGAGACAAACTCAAAGCAAATATTCCACTGACATGCAAAACAGAGACGATGTTTCTAAAAATATGGGAGAGAAAACATCTTGGAATCAAATATTGATGTCCCGTGCACTGGTGACTCCGAAAAGGAAATGATAAGGTTTGACCAGCAGGAGGGGCATTGTGTTTCATCAGCACAACCCAGGCTCACCACAGTGACAAGTCGGAAACTCCGAAAGCGTGGTTGAGAGATTCTTATGCATCCATAGAGGTGTTCTTTTTCAGTAGCCTTTCATTGACGATAACTCGTGAGTCGGACCAAGCTTTCATTGCATTTTTGTTTAGCATTGCTTGGCATGGATAAACTTACGCTTAACAATGTTTATAAATTGTTCAGCTATACTTCGTAGATTCACATTCTGCAAAGAATTTTTTTCGCGCGCATCGCTCAACTTATGGTCACCACAATCGGGCTACTGAGCGTACTATTCTCAACACCATCATATCCATCTTGAGACCCAGCGTTCTTTATTGGATAATATTCGACCGAATAGACCATGTTTAGCATGCAGTGAAGAAAATATAGCTGCCTTAATTAAGAGTGTACACAAAGACTGTGAAGGGTCGTTGCAACACCGTTCGCAGATACTCGGACTGAAGTATAGAATGAGATTTTACCTAGAGATCTTAAATTGAAAGCGTACAAAATACAGTGTGTGAAAGAACTGAAGCCGTTTGATCTTTCCGAGCGACATCGCTTAATGAAAAGTTCCAAGAAAATCCAACGTTTTCAAGCGTTTTGTGCCCCGATGACGCCCATTTCTGGCGCAATGGGTATATAAACAAGCAAAATTGCGCATTTGGGACAAAGATCAACCTGAGGGAGGTTCAAGGGCTGCCATTTTATCCATAAAAAAGCATCGGTTTGTTGTGGTTTGTAGGCCGATAGAATTCATATTTCTTCAAAAATGATGCCGGTGAAAACGTAACTCTCAATGGCGAACGTTAGCGCGCCATGATAACCGACTATCTGATGCCTGAAATTGAAGCTCTTGAAATGTCGCCGGCGATATTTGGTTTCAACAAGACAGCACCACTTCCCTCACAATATATAAATCAATGGATTTATAGAGAGAACACTTCGGCGGGCTGATAATTACACGTTTTAGGCCGATCGATTGGCCACCAAGATCACACTGTTGGACTTTTTTCTGTGGGGATATGTAAAGTCTAAATCTATCTGGGCAATTCCGCTCCGATTCAGCTCGTAGAACAAAACATCACGCATGTCGTTCGCCTAGTTACCAGTCGAAGAATTGGCCTCAAGAGTAGCCTGTGAAAATGGATTGTCCCAAGTTTTTGCCAACAGAGACAGGGTTTCTATGGGACAGAGGCATAATGACATAATTTTCGAAATTGCAAAAAGTTATCGATTGAGTCACTCAATTTAAATTATTCTAATTCTAGTTCGTGCTGACTAATACATTTTATAATATTCATAAAATATTTCGAAAATTAACTGGAAACTTAAGACTCATACACACTTAAGTAACACTTGAAGTGCCAATTATTTTCGAATATATTTCCATTTTTATTTTATTTTTATTTTTATTTTTTTTTTAATTTTTTTTTTAAGAAATAAATTAAGAAGTAACAAATCTAGCTAATTTGTTATTCAAATATTGTGCGCCGACGTAAATGAAATGTTGTACGCGTTGTGATGTCTGTCGATAACAGTCCATGGGCGATCAAGCACGTCTTACCGGTTCCGCAAATCTGCAGATTGTCGTATTTCAGTACAATTTTTTTGATGATGTATCTTTTGTCGTGTCTTACCGACTCGGTTTTCCGCGAAAAAGCGTTTACGCATAATAAAAATATTATATGCATACATGAATGTCTGTAGGTGTGTATATGTCACACCCAGCGTAGCATTGGGGTTCACAACATTGGTGCTGCTGCTGCTGCTGTTGCTGCTGTTGCTGCTGCTGCTGGCGGAGATCAAGATGTTTGATGACGTTGAGCAGGTTAATGCTGAAGATTAGTGACCGCCGCGGGCGTTTTCAATCCACTGACCTTGACACCTTAAAGCTGTTGAAGAAACATGAATATTAATTGATTTACTGTCGTTTGCACGAACTTAAGCATGTCGTCTTGAAATTACTGTTAAGCCAAAAATCAATGGAAATATTAAATAAAATATTAGCATGGAAAATCAATCAAATTTTAATATTTTTGTACAGCTCAATCGAAATATTGTTTTCAACTGCTTAACTTGCCTCTTGCAAAACTCAATTAATCAACAGTTGCCACATTAAATTCACACCCAGCTTTAGCATGTGTCTGCAGTGCAAATAAATTTGCATAAAAACAACATTTTTTTCGTATATTCTCCTACATTTACTAAAAAAAAAAGTTATGCAAATTTTGCCAATTCTCCGCAAACGAAGATGCGCACCAAACTTGTTTATTTCTCAGTTTCGCTTTCAACGCTGCCAGCGCTGGGGCGAGCTTTAAAGCGCTCGCACAGCATCCATAACTCACCCACAAAAGTACATCGCACGCGCATGAAAACAAAAACAACAAATTGAATTTTTATATCATCAAAAGTTTTTAATATTATTCGTACCTGTCGGGCACATCTTTTTGTCAACTTAACAGGTCCGAACAGCTATTGGCTATTCACAATTTCATATGAACTGGATTCCGTTGTAGCTTTTTTCGCTGCAGCGTTGGCAGCAGCAAAAACAATAACAACAACTATTTTGATTTAAAATAATTTTTAACTAGAAGCTACTACCTTTTTCGCTTCTATCCGCTATTACTCGTCACCACATCGCTCAGTCTTGCACGAAAGCTTACGCGTTGTAGAGCGTTTTTTCTTGCTTCATACGCGTTAAAAAAAGTACTTTTGAAAAGGACTCTTAAGAATACGTCGTAAACGAAGTGTATCCATTAAGGACATTAAAAGAATTGTGGTGAAAATGTTCAAGATTTTATTGAGTGCAACTTTATGTGTGGCCATGTTTGGCTCTTTGGGTTAGTATTGCAGAATTTCGAGAATTAAATATATATGTAATTATAATTGGAAAGATTTTGAGTTCAAAGATATCAATTTGTCTGCAATGAAGCAAAAGACTTTAGGCACGAACTTCATTTTGGTATGACACAAAATTCTACGCGCACTTTGACGATAAAATCTAAGTGCAAAGTCTGTAAAGCCTTTCAATAGTTAAATTGCTTCCTTAAATATTTGGAAATTTGAATCTATTTTTAAATTATATTAAAATTTTAAGAACACTTTTTTTTTTGTTTTTTTTTTTGATGTGCTAAATTGCTACTGAAGGGTGTTTGTATAGTAAATACACAATACACCTAAAATGATATAAAAATTTTATTTCAAAAATATCAATTACTTTCCTTAGTTGAATATATAGAAATATTAAAAGTTTTTTTACAATTTGAAATATCTTTGAAACTTATGACTCTTATTTGTTATATCTTTTTTTTTTTTTAAATTAAATCAGCGGTTTGATCAGTAGATCTTTAAAAGAATAAATAAATATATAAATATATATTATAAATTAATGTGCGTGAACTCCTCATAAAAAATTATTCAATAAATGATCAAAAAATTAAAACAAAATAAATTAAAATTAACTAAACTGAAAAAAATTTAAATGAACTGAAAAAAATAAATAAATTGAACAAATTATTGTAAATAAAATTATATATGGTAAACAAAATAAGTAAAATTTACTAAAATAGAAAAGTAAAATTAAATAATAATAAAACAAAATTAATTAAAATCAGCTCAAATAAAAATAAAATTAATTTAACTAAAAAAATAAAATTAAATACAGTAAAATTATTAAATGGAATCAACTTAAATAGAAAAGTAAAATAAAATAATATAAACTAAAAAAAATTAAAATGAGCTAAAATGAAAATCTAATAAAGTTAACTAAACAAATAAAATTATCCAAAACAGAAAATTAAAACAAATAAAGTAAACTAAAATGTAATAAAGTAAATAGAATTAAATAAAAAAAATAAATTAAATTAATTAAAATAAAATGAAATATATAAAATACAATAAAATTACTGTTATGAAATAAAACATGTAAAAAATGAAAAATTATTGAATAATTTAAATTAAATTAAATAAATGCAATAACAAAATGAAAAATATGAAATAATTAAATAAACAAATTAATACAATCACATAAATTATATAAATGAAAAAGAAATTTGAAAACATAAAATAAAATAAATTTTAAATTGAAATTAATTAGTTCAAAAAAAAAATTAAAAATAAAAAACTTAAAATAAAATAAGATAAAAGCAAATTATTTAAATTGTCAAAAATTATATAAAAGACAAAAAAAATACATACAATAAAATAAAATAATTCAAATACCAAGCAAGAAGCCTTCATACCTTTCATCCCCATTCCCATATCGAATTTGTGATATTTTATTTTAAAACTAAATTTTAATTTTAAAATCTGAAAAGTTGGTCGGAAGGGTATATTTGATGGTGTCTCCCGTTTTAAATTATTTTCGGTGGAAATGTTAATTTTTACATATTATACTTGTGAAGAATGCCCTTCGACTTATTTTTGACCAAAAACATCGCATATGAATAAATCGATTGTATGAGGGTTACATATTATTATTCTCGGTGACAATATTTCTTTGTATATACGGTTGTAGAATATCAAATTTCATATTCTTAGATGCCATTTTCACTCAAAACCTCAAATCTAAAAATTTGGTCGTACTACAGTGATCCGATCTGAGCGTTTCCGACAAATAATCCAATGTACCAGTTCATCTGGAAGACAAACTTGGTTGAGATATCTCAAAAACTGAATTTGCTTACAAAGCAACGACCAGGCAGACAAACGGCTGATTCGCCATGCTGACTCGAACGATATACATTTTGATGGGTCTATGCCTTCTCCTTCTGGTATTATATACGTTAAAGCAAGGTTGACATACCATTCCATATATTACATGAAAATTATGATCAAATGAAATGTAAAAAAGTACAACGTTTGAAAAAGAATGCCCTGCGCATGTGAATAATAGATAAAGTGGCTTTAAGCACCGACCGAAAAAAAAATTATAAATTTTCCTTTGATTTGCTGATCTTGGCAGACAAATATAAAATTGGCGCTAAGTAACCACTGAAGTGATTTTTGGCCGAGCTCATACACCAAATTTTGGTTTTACGTTTTGAGGTTTTCCCAACAAATGAAGGAACTTAAAGTTTATACTCAGCCTTCACCGCACAGTTGATGCTTTTTCACAAGAAACTTTTTATATCATATCAAAAACACACTCGGAAAAGTTGAATTCCTGGCAGGGGAGTGACTTCAATTAAAAAAAATATTTGTTTTAAATTATTATTGTTCAAATATTAATTTTTATTTTGTTATTTTATTACTTCTTTATTATATATAAATATTAAATAGTTGTACTTTTATATATTTGGCTTATAAAATCTAAATTTCTCTTTTCAAGCCTTTTGATGTAGAAGAAATATCTCTTTCTCACCCTTAAGGGGCACACCTAATGTAATGGCCTAAAAAATGTGATTTTTGGGAATTTGTATTAAAAAAAAATACTTTATCAATTATTTCAAAATTTTAAGAATACATTTTTTATACATGTTTCAAGAATATGCAGTGAAATTTTTGAAAAAAAAAATTAAATGTTTTTTAAGTTATAGTCGAACTCCAACGGCGCGAGGCAAAGGTCCTTCACTGATGCAGTGATTCCGGCCTTCTCCGTGGGTGAAATCTAAAAAAAAAATTCTCTACTAAATAAAATTGTCTGTACAATGAGCTACTATAAAAAAAATCTAAAATTAACAATATGGCGGCGTCTTAAAAAAATAGTCGAATTTTACCCAAAATTTTGGTCCTTTTTGGCCTGCAAAAATTCGATTTTTTGATCAAAATTTGATAGATCACTGTACGGAGAACTATATATAAAACATGTAAAAAAATTCGATAGTGATCGGATCATTTGTTTTTGAGTAATCACTGAAGCAAATGCGGAAAATGCTGTATCAAGAAAAAAACGCGTTTAAAGATAAAATGATTGTTTTCACTCGTAGCTAATGAGACTCTCTAGCTGCCAAGCGGCTGCTCTTTAAATTGCTATAACACAACAACTATTTGAGATATCGATTTGAAATTTTTATATGTTATTCTTAAAGGTGTAATCTAACGAAATATTAAAAAAAAATTTCACACTAAGTATGCCCCTTAACTACCGTTCTAAACTTGAAATTAACAATTCTTCCCACAATATTCAGAAGTACCGTAACACACAATTCCTACAATACTACTGCCGATTATAAAAACAAATCACATTTTTAAAGCAAAAAAAATATAAAATTTAGAATACCAGTTCGGCACATTAATTGCTACATTTCACCACAGCGCCTCATTAACTATTTCGTAATAGAGTAAATACTGGAATTTTGACTTAAAACCGCTCAGAGCTTTTTAACTCGACCTGATTGGAATATAAATTGCGAATAAGTGAAACATCTGGTATAACAGGTATAAAATTGAATTGAGAATTGAGCATTTATAATCGCTTACCGGCATCGTTGTTGGCATAAATATGTATTGTATTTCATTACAATGTTATGGCTCAAGACTGAGAATACTGCAAATAAATGCCGAATTAAATATAATTAGAATTAAAACATTGTAAATAAAATAAAAAATATTTGAGTTTTTAGTTTAAATTTGAGTTTTTGAACGAGTCGCTGGATGAGATTACTTTGGCATATATTTTTTGTTTACAACTTATTTATGCTTATTGCCAGCGAAGTTTGCTAGCATCTCAAGTACGTGTAAACAAAACAAAATATCGCATATCGCCTGCTATTTGTTTTTATCTTAATCGCTCTTTGTACGTTTGTAAGTTATTACTATTTTCAATCGTTTCACAGGCAAACAAGCAGAAACAAATAACTACTCATAGCTATCATTGGGTGGGTGGCATTTGGTATGGCGTATGTACGTATCTATGTACATATATGTAATGAGTTTTGTTTGCTTTTTAATGAAGTTGGGTTAACTGCAAAATTGTATAACTCAAAGAGCATTTTTTGGAAATTATATGTATATTCATACATATTAAGACAGTTGGCTCTTACATATCGGAATTAGAAAACAAAAACGAATATTAATTATTGAAAATATTGTTTTATATAATATACTCTATTTAAAAAAAATCAAACACTTTTAAAGGGTGATTTTTTAGCTATTATCTTTTTTCGCAACACTTGTCTGACGCACGTTTCGTCTTTTGTATCACTGTCAAACATCTTCAGCTTTGATCTATAATTTAACCATGAATCGTCTTACAAACGAACAACGCTTGCAAATTATTGAATTTTATAATCAAAATGGGTGCTCTGTTAAGAAAGTACATCGCGCTTCGATGCTCAGTTTTGGCTTAATGGGTGGCGTAAAGAAGCAGAATTGTCGATTTTGGAGTGAAGATCAGTCAGAAGCATTGCAAAAGCTATGTATGCACCTAGAAGAAGTCACAGTTTGGTGCGGTGTATGGGCTGCTGGCATCATTGGAGCGCATTTTCTCAAAGATAATGCAAATCGTACCGTCACTGTGAATGGTGAGCGCTACCGTGAAATGATATCCAATTTTGTTTTGCCCAAAAAGCAAGAGCTTGGCTTGCATGACATGTGGTTTCAACATGACGATGCTACATGCCACACAGCACGCTTATCAATGGACTTATTGAGAGGCGAGTTCGGCGAACATTTTATTTCACGTTCGGGACCGGTCAATTGGCCACATAGATCGTGCGATTGAACGTCTTTAGACTATTTGTTGTGGGGCTATGTTTAATCCAATGTCTATACAGCCAATCCCGCTTCCATTGACGCATTAGAGCACAACATTGAGGCATTTATTCGTGAGATACCGGCCGAAATGTTGGTAAGAGTATGCCAAAATGGAACTAAGCGGATGGACCATTAAATTATATGG